GAATGAAAAAATTTCCCAAGAAGTTAAGATTTTCAAGAGAAATCAAAACAAAATAATGGCAATGAAGAATTCAATAGAACAAATAAAAAATATGGTTAGAAAGCCTTAAGAACAGACTCAGTAAAGCAAAAGAAAGGATATCCAAGTTAGAAGACAAATCTCGGGAACTTTTACAGTCAAATTAAAAAAAAAGAATTAGAAAATTAAAAAACAGTGTTAGAGATTTAAGGGATACTATCAAACAACCCAACATACAGATCTTAGGAGTTCCTGAAGGTGTGGAAAGAGAGAATGCATTAGAAAGCCTTTTTGGTGAAATAATTACAGAAAACTTCCCTAATTTGGAGAAAGAAAGGGACATCCAAGTACAGGAAGCAAATGACCTAATAGATATGACTAGAAAAGATCTTCAACATGACACATTATAGTCAAACTCTCCACAGTAAAACAAGGAAAAGATCCTAAAATATGCATGAGAGAAACATCAGATTACTTTCAGAGGATCTTCAACTAGACACTGCTGACTTCTCATCAGAAACCCTACAGGTTAGGAGAGAATGGAGAGATATATTCCAAGTCTCAAGAAAAAAAAATTGTCAAACCAGAATACTGTAACCTGCGAAGCTCTCATTTATGAATGAAGGTAAAATGAAGACATTCCATAACAAAGAGAAATTGAAAGAATTTGTCACCACTCATCCAGCCCTACAAAAGATGCTTAAGGATGTGCTACACACAGAAAAACAGAAAAATGGTCATCACCATGAAAGAAGGTAAAGGCAGAAAATCTCCCAGTAAAAGCACAAAGGAAAATCAAAGTAAAAAATAGGAATATTTATGGAAAAATTGCAGCACCAATTCATTACTTACCAATAATCACCTTGAATGTAAATGGTCTCAACTCTCTAGTTAAGATACAGACTGGCTGAATGGTTTAAAAAACAAAACCCATCTATTTGCTGCCTACAAGAAACATATCTCACCAACAAAGATGCATGCAGACTGAAAGTGAAAAGATGGAAGAGGATATTCCATGTTAACAGAAACCAAAAAAAAGCTGGTGTGGCCATCCTAATATCAGACAAAATAGACTTTAACACAAAAACTGTCAAAAGAGACAAAGAAGGGCACTATGGAATTATTAAGGGATCAATTCATCAGGAAGATGTGACTATTGTAATGTAAATGCGACTAAATACAGGGCACCTGGCGACTTAAAAGAAATGTTAAGGAATCTAAAGGGAGGTATAGACTCCAAAACAATAGTAATGGGAGATTTCAATACCCTACTTTCAGCATGGACAGATCAACCAGACAGAAAGTCAGCAAGGGAACACAGTTAATCAACACTATAGACCAAATGGACCTAATATCTACAGAACTTTTCATCCTACTGTTGCAGAATACACATTCTTCTCACCAGTGCATGGAACTTTTTCTAGGATAGACCACAGGCCAGGCCATAAAGCAAGTCTCAGCCAATTCAAAAAAATTGAAATCATACCATGCATCTTCTCAGACCACAATGGAATGAAGTTGGAAATCAGCAACTCAGTAATTTCTAGAACATATGCAAACACATGGAGACTGAACAACATGCTCCTGAATGAACAGTGGGTCATAAAATAAAAGAGAAATCTAAAAATCTCTGCAACCAAATAAAGATGTCAATACAACATATCAAAACTTATGGGATACATCAAAAGCAATATTAAAAGGGAAGTTTATAGTAATTGGTGCCTACATCAAGATATTGGAAAAGTACCAAATAAATGAGCTATAAATGCATTGCAAGGACCTAGAAAAACAGCAAATCAAAACCAAAACTAGTAGGAGAAAAGAAATAATTAAAATCAGAGAAGAAATTAAAACAAAAAAATACAAAAGATCAGTGAAACGAAAAGCTGGTTTTTTGAAAAAATAATAAAAATTGACACACTATTGGCCCAACTAACCAAAAAAAGGAGGGAATGCAGAGATGGTTCAACATTTGCAAATCAATCAATGTGATACATCACATTAACAAACTGAAGAAAAAAAACATGTGATTATCTCAATACATGCAGAAAAAGCCTTTGATAAAACACAACAACCTTTCATGATGAAAACTCTAAGCAAACTGTATAGAAGGAACATTCCTCAACACAATCAACGACCAGCATCTTATTGAAAGTTGAAAAGTTGGAAGGATTCCCACGGAGATCCAGAACCAGACAAGGAGGTCCACTCTCACCATTGTTATTAAGTTGGGGAGGAGGAAGTCAAACTGTCCCTATTTGCAGATGACATGATTCTTTATATAGGGAATCCAAAAGACTCCACTAAGAGAATATTGGAACTCATAGAAGAGTTTGGTAAAGTGGCAGGGTATAAAATCAACACACAAAATCAACAGCCTTTATATACATAGACAATGCCAAGGCTGAGAATGAACTTCTAAAATCAATCCCATTCACAATAGCTACAAAAAAATCAAATACCTTGGAATAAATTTAACCAAGGATGACAAAGATCTCTACAATAACAATTATAAAACATTAAAGAAAGAAATAGAAAAAGACACAAAAAATGGAAAAATCTCCCATGTTTGTGGATTGGAAGAATCAAACTATCTATACTACTGAAAGCAATTTGCAAATTCAATGTGATACCAGTCAAAATACCAAGGACATTCTTCTCAGATATAGAAAAAATGATGCTAAAATTTATATGGAAACACAGGAGACCCCAAATATCTAAAGCAATCTTATACAACAAGAACAAATTCAGAGGCATAACAATACCAGATTTCAAGACATACTACAGGGCAATTATAATAAAAATAGCCTGGTACTGGTACAAAAACAGATGGATAGACCAATGGAACAGAATAGAAACACCAGGATCACTAGCCATCAGAGAAATGCATATCAAATCCACAATAAGGTCATCACATCCTGTTAGAATGGCTTGCATACAGAAATCAACAAATAAATGCTGGTGAGGATGTGTGGGAAAAGGTATCCCAATCCACTGTTGGTGGGAATGTAAACTGGTCCAGCCACTGTGGAAGATAATATGGAGATACCGCAGAAATCTGAATATAGACCAACCATAAGAGCCAGCCATCCCACTCCTGGGAATTTACCCAAGGGAAATGAAATCAGCATATTAAAGAATTATCTGTAACCCCGTGTTTCTTGCAGCTTGATTCACAAGATCTAAGATATGGAATCAACCCAGATGCCCATCAACTGAAGACTCAATAAATTATGAGATATATACACCATGGAATACTATAGAGCAGTTAAAAATGGAATCCGGTCATTTGCAACAAAATAGATGAAACTGGAAAACATCATACTTAGTGATATGAGCCAGTCCCAACAAGACAAATACCATATGTTCTCCCTGATCTTTGATAAGTAACAGAGCATCTAAAAGGTAATCTATAGAAGTGAAATTAACACTTTGAGATGTAATGACTTTGAACAGCTCTTGTCTCAACTGTTGAACAACAGGGTTTTTTTTCCAATGTATTGAACTCTTTACTTAGTATATAGCTCTTAGTAAAAGATAAGAATGGGAATAGGAGAAGGAGAAGGAGGAGGAAGAAGTGTGGGAGGGCAGGTATGGTGGCAAGACTCACTATATTCCTAAATTTGTATTTATGATATACATGAAGTGTGTATTCCTTAAATAAAAGGTCTCTGGAGAGGAAAAAGATAACATCACTAAACGTGGATAAGAGAGATCACCAAACATAACAATGGATGCCTAGTACTACTTCCGCCTGCCCTCTCCCCTCCACATACACACAGTTACCCTCTCCGCCCTGGGAGGCGTTGGCCATCTGACTGGAGGGCTCCAAGGTAAAGTCTTTGTCTAATGGGGTGGCACCAATTCTAAAAAGGGAAGGAGACCTAGACCCTAATGTAAGGGCCTCAAATGCAAATGAGGGGATCTCTCCCCAAATGGGGAGCCCTCCAGAGTCCCACTCCTACAGTTAGGTCTGGCCCCACTCTCAGCTGGATATGGCTCACTTTGACTTCCACCTTCTGAGGGGTGCAACCTCAGGTCAGTGAAGGGTGCAATGCAAGCACTGGTCAGGAAGTAGCATAACAGACCTGAATGCTGACTGTAGGGACCACCTGCACATCACTAAGAGGATCACACAGCAGTCTACCTGCCCCCATTCCCTTTTACCTTGGAGGCCCTGGCCCTGATTTCAGCCTGGAGAATTCTAGGAAGAGGAGAGCTTGTTCTAACAGGTGTGTCCCTGATTCTAAACGGGGCAAGACACCTAGATCTTAAAAGGGGTGAGATTCCGGAATACAAAGGAGGGGACATCTCTCCAAACAATGGAGTCAAGTACGATGTCACCGCAGCAGTCAGCCCTGAACACCACCGATCCCCCCCTCCACTCCCCTCCCCCCCCACATGCACCCGCTCTCACACACACACCAGATGTCGCTATCTGGGACTTCTGCCTTGCAGGTTTCCGGAAGGTGAGGACGTCGGTTGGAAGTGCCGTCTCACATCAGTGGAGTTTGGAAGTCCAGCACTGGTCAAGGTAAGGGCCCTGAATGTGGATGGAAAGGACCACCCTTGCATAACAAAGGCAGTGGGCCAGCGCTACCTCTGCCCTGCACCCCTGCCCTCACTGCCCTCTACCCTTTCAGCCCGTGGGAGGTCTTGGCAGAGGCACAGTGCTAACTTCTGCCTAGACGGTTCCAAAAAGGGGAAGGCTTACCTAAGGAGACGCTCTCAATTTTGTGAGGTTAGGGAGATCCTGAATACAAATCAGCGGATACTGCGGGAAACCAGGGTCCCGCCCCTGCCAGTCAGCTGTGTCCCCGCCCCCTTGGGCGGATGTTGCTCCTCTGACTTCCGCCTGTGAAGCTTCTGGAAGGTGGCAACATTAGAGGGCGCAGTCTCGTCAGTGGAGGGTGGAATTCCAGCGCTGGTCAGGAAGCAAGGTAAGGGCCCTAAATGTGGACCGAAGGGGGATCACGTAGCAGTCTCCCGTACCCCTGACCTGCCGCCACCCAGCCCCTCTCAACCCTGCAGGTCCTGGCAGAGCTATGATCCCGAATTCTACCTGGAGGTTTCTAAGAAGGGGAGGGCTTGATCCAAGGTGGTGCCCCTAATTTCACGGCCCTGACAGGAAACCCTGAATGTGAGCAAACAGACGGCTCCCCAAAGGAGGGGGGGGGACCCGGGTCCTGCCTCAGCTAGTCAGCTTGCCCCCCTCCCCCTCGGGTGGATGTGGCTCCCTGCGACTTCCGCCTCGGATGTGTCGGGAAGGAGAGGACTGTAGTCCAAGGGACGCTCGCTGGAGTCTGTGGAGAATACGGTTCTGAGACTGGTCAGGAATCGAGTAAGAACCCTGAATTTGAAGTGAAGGAAGCCCCCAGCCCCCACCCCGACACCTAACAGGCGATTGCCAAGTGTTTTCGTCCCCGCCAAGCCACCTCAGCCTTGGAGGCCCTCTCAGAGCTATGGCGCCGACTTCTTCCTGGAGGTTTTTCAGATCAGCGGCGAGTGGGGGAGGGGGCCTGGCCTAATGGGTATCCCTAAATGCTGTTAACGTCTCTCTAAAGCGGCGGGGGGCGGGGGCGGGGGAAGGAGGAAGGTCGGCCTCAGCCAGTCTCCCCGCCCACCTTCTCCGGAAGTCCTGCCACCGCGCCTTTGGCCACTTGTGGCGCACTCTGGCTTCCATTTTGGAAGTTTCAGGAAGGCGAGGATGGGGGAGGGAAGGGGGCATGGCACAACATGTACTCAGTGGAGGGTAGAAATTAAGTACAGTACTGGGCAGGACCCTGAATGTGAACTGAAGGGACCACCTGCATATAACCAAGGGATGGCACAGCCCCTCCCGCATCCGGCCGCTCCTCTCCGCCCTGGATGCCGTGGCAGAGCTGTGGCTTCTGCTACAGCTGCATTGGGCTGGAGGGCTCTAGAGAGGGGAGGCTATGATCGAAGAAGTTATCGCTGATTCTTCACTGCTATAAAGACGTAGAGCCTAACAGAGAGTGGGCGGCCTGGAAACCAATGTGGGGACTTACCCCCAAAGGAGAGCTCGGCCAGAGTCCTGCCCCTAGAGTCAGCCCTAGCCACTCCCTTGGCCAGATGTGGCTCCCTATGATTCCATCTCGGAAGTTTGGAGAAGGTGGCAATCTTAGTTTGAGGGTAGTACCCCAAGTCAGTGAAGGGTAGAATTCTAGGACTGGTCAGGACCCTGAATGTGGGCTGAAGGAACTACCCACTAGCACATACCAAAGGTGATCACCCAGCGCTACCGCTGCCCTGCACCCTGCATGCCCCCCTCCCTCTGCCTTTTCAGACCTTGGAGGCCATGGCAGAGCTGTGGTGTAACTTCTGTACTGGGCCTGGGTGGGGAGCTGTTTTTGTGGTAAGGGCCATGTGGATATTTTAACATAATTTGCTGGTTGTATAAAATTATCAACTTAAAAATTAGTGGCCGGCGCCGCGGTTCAACAGGCTAATCCTCCGCCTTGCGGCGCCGGCACACCAGGTTCTAGTCCCGCTCGGGGCGCCGGATTCTGTCCCGGTTGCCCCTCTTCCAGGCCAGCTCTCTGCTGTGGCCCGGGAAGGCAGTGGAGGATGGCCCAAGTGCTTGGGCCCTGCACCCCATGGGAGACCAGAAGAAGCACCTGGCTCCTGCCATCGGATCAGCGCTGTGCGCCCGCCGCAGCGCACTGGCCGCGGTGGCCACTGGAGGGTGAACCAACAGCAAAGGAAGACCTTTCTCTCTGTCTCTCTCTCTCTCACTGTCCACTCTGCCTGTCAAAAAAAAAAAAAAATTAGCCTGCTATTATTGAGTTTTGAGTCCCACCTGTGGTTGCCTTGGCAATGATTTTGTGGGCCCCCACCCCTGGTTTAGAGTCCCAGGAAGGGGAGGTCTAGGAGATCTAGACCCTAACAGGAGCAAAAACCCTGAATTAATGAAGGAGCTTCTCCCTAAGAAGGAGTGGGGTTGACCACAATCCCACCCCTACTGTAAGCCCCGCGTCCTCCCTTTTTGCCACATGTAGCATACTCTGACTTCCTGAGAAACCTGAATTCTAGTGAGAGGACCTTTTCCCAAATAGGGAGCCCACCCAAGAGCCTGGCCCCTCTGTCAGGACTGGGTCTCGCAGGACAGATGTAGCCAGATGTGGCCTGCCTTGACTTCTCTAGCTACTCTAGGAAGCGACGGCCTCTGCAGTATCTGGCTTGACTCATGGCACTGGAGTAAGGAGTTGGAAGTCTCACCCTGAGCCAGGGTTGGAACCCTGGTAGACAATGGCAGGGTCCCTCTGAGTCCTACCTCTCGTGTCAGGCCTTGTAGCTTCTAAACAGCCATGACAGAACATGGCATACATTGAACTCCTAACTCCAGAGGTCCCCTTGAAGGAGCTTGGTGTGAAGGATACTGTCTCCGTTCAGCAGATGATGGAATCCCAGGACTGGTCAGGTGTCAAGGCCAAGATCTAAGTTAGGAAATGAGGGTAACTCCACCTTCAGTAGAAAAGGCTGCGCTGAACCCAACTCTACAGCTGTCCTTTGGGGTCCAGGGTGGAGCTGACAGGATCAGGTGCTCACTGACTTCAGCCTGCAGGGTTTCAGGAGGTGAGATTTAAGGACTAGCTGGCCCAGGTGAGCAGAAAGAAGAGTCCCAGACTATGACTGTTGGCAGGAAAGGTGAGAGTCCTGTTTGAGGAATGGGGGAAACAATCACTCCAGAATAGAGGTGGCCACATAAAGTCTCACCTCTGCTCTTGGCCCCAGGCAAACAATGAGTAGAGGTTTTAGGATGAGGTGACTCTTCCTTTCCTGAAAGAGGGGGGTAGCAGCTCAGAGGTGGACTTCTTGCAGTACTGGGGGAGGCCCCATTCATCAGAGGGAGGAGACTTAGTCTCAAACAGGGATCAAGGTGAGAACACTGAGTGACCTGAGGGAATCCCTCCCAAACAGAAGTGGGTCTCATAGAGTGCCACCTGGCAAGCCTGGTGTGTTAACATGCTGAAATGCACTCAGTTCCTCCTAGGATGTCTCACAGAGGTGAAGAACCTGGACAGTTTCAAGTCATCTGATAGAGATTTTTTCTAAAAATTTATTTACTTATTTGAAAATCAGAGTTACACAGAGGGAGGGAGAGAAGGAGGGGGAGAGAGAGTGAGCGCGAGCCAGGACTCAATCTGGCACCCATATGGGATGCCAGCACTGCAGGCGGTGGCTTTACCAGCTATGCCACAGCACCGGCCCCTGATAGAGATTTTTAAGTGCTTGCCAAGAATCAAAGTGAAGGCCCTAGGGACTGAGGTGACTCCTCAGCCCCTAGCTGTGGAGCCTACACAGCATATCTCCACTATGGCAGACCAAGAGCTGAGGCAACCAATATACCTCCTAGGGGTGCTACAGATTTGAGGAGCTAATATGAGGGACTAGGCCTCAGGGGAAGACAGGGATGTTTTCCTTGTTGTGACAGGATTCTGGGTGAGGACTCAGGGGAACATCCACCCAGAACAGAGTGCCCCAAAAAGTACCTGCTTCCCACTCAGCCCTGGGAAACCCCAGGAGAGGTAATCAGGTATGGTATGCACCTCAGTTACGCCCTAAGTGCTCAGGGTGGTGGTCTGCAACTTGTCCTGCCTGCATGAGGGCTGACAGGGCCACTGACACCAGAACATCAAAGGCTCCCAGCATCTAGACCCTGCTGCCAATCCAGGGAGGCCATGAACCAGCATGGCTGGGGCAGGGGGGATCATACTTTTACTGTATCACCTCTGGGGGCGTGTCTCCAGAAGACAAGGACCTTGATCCAAAGATAAGGGCCTCACATGAGCCAGGAGTGAATTACAGGTTGAGTCAGGAGTCAGTGAACATGCTAAAGAGGATGGGGACCACCCACTGATCTCAGAAGGCTTCCTATTTTATCTTGGGAGGGCATAAACACATATGTCAGGCAGAGGCACAACTCAGCTCCTCCTCAGGAGAAACAGAGGAGTGATGGTCTTGGTCCAAAGAGAGTAGTCACAAGGGAGAGCTGGCAGACTGCAGCCTAAGGCATACTCTTGACCTCAGGAGAATAGGAGCCCTACAGTGTCCTAGGGCAGTACCCCTAGGGATGCCTGCTCCAGGGACCTTTTTAAAGGTATCTCTCTGTTGAGGGGCTCATCTACCCTTGTTCTCCTCCAGCTGCCTGTGTCCTGTGCCTCCAGCCATAGTCATCATGCCTCGTGGTCAAAAGAGTAAGCTCCGTGCCCGTGAGAAACGCCGCCAGGCCCGAAGTGAAAACCAAGATCCCAAGGGTGCTGAAGCCACTGCAGCAGAGGAAGGAAAGTCACCATCTTCCTCCTCACATGTTTCTGGGAAAGAATCCCAGAGCACTTCTGCTGCAGGCATCCTCCAGGGATCTCAGGCAGCCAGATCCACCAGCACCCCTGCTGCTGCTGCTGCTGCTGCTGCTGCTGCTGCTGCTGCTTCACGTTCAAGTTCTGGTGAAGGTGCTAAGATCCAAGAGAAGGGAAATCCAAGATCCACCCGTGCTCAGGCCGCCTCTCGCCACCCAAGAAAAGATCCCCTGACTGAGAAGGTGGATATGCTGATGCAGCTGCTGCTGCACAAGTATAAAATGAAAGAGCCCATCCTCAAGGCAGATATGCTGAGTATGATCAGCAAGAAGTACAAGAAGCACTTCCCCAAAGTCCTCCAGAGAATCACTGAGCGCATGGAGTTGGTCTTTGGCCTTGACCTGAAGGAAGTCAGCGGCAGTGATCCGTCCTACACTCTTGTCTGCAAGCTAGAGCTTTCCAGTGAAGAGTGTCTGGATGATGGCAGGGGTTTTCCCAAGACTGGGCTCCTGCTGCCTCTCCTGGGCATGATCTTCATGAATGACCACCGTGTCACTGAGGAAGAGATGTGGGCATTCCTGAATGTGTTGGGAGTATTTGATGGTAGACAGCACTTCATCTTTGGGGAGCCCAGAAAGCTCATCACCAAAGATTTGGTGGAGGAAAAGTACTTGGAGTACCAGCAGGTACCCAATAGTGATCCTCCACGCTATGAGTTGCTGTGGGGTGCAAAGGCCCACAATGAAATCAACAAGATGAAAGTCTTAGAGTTTTTGGCCAGGATCAAAGGTACTGCTCCCAGTACCTTCCAGTCCCGTTATGAGGAGGCTTTGAGAGATGAGGAAAATCGATCCCGAGCCAGAAATGCAGCCAAGGGTGGTGCTACTACTCCACCTGGGGCCACAGGTGCTAGGAAAGTCTGAGGCAGTGTTCATTTTGGGGTTCAGAAGAGCTGTCAACCTTCTAAGCAATGGGGCAGGAGGAGGTAGAGGTAGAGAAAGCATAACGTATCACTTTCTGTGTTCTGTTACTCATAAGTAACTTGTAGATTGAGTGTTTCTCCAGTTTTTCCAATATGTTCCTTTAACGTTTATTTGGATTCAGATGCTACATTTCTTGCTGTTATAACCACACAATTGCTGTTTATCAAGTTTAATGCTTTGTAAAACAAATTGCAAAACTTTGTATCTTTTATTGGGATGCAATACAAGAAAACATAGCTTTGGTTAAATGGATATACTTTAAAATGTATAAGAATTCTTAGCAAGTTGGGATCACAAAATGACGAAGAAAAAAATAAAAGGTGGCCAATTCTTGTTTTTCTTACTCCTTTTATAGTCTGTTGTTCAAATTAAAAGCTATGTACCTAGAATATATCTCGGTTTGCTTAGCTTCAAGAATGTAGATGAAATTAAAGCATCATAAGTAGGAACTTGTGTTCACTGGCTGTTTTGTTCACCAGTTATGAATTGAGCATCTGCTCTTCGAAAGGCCTCATGCTACTTCTAGGGCTGTGTAGAGAAGATCCAGTCCCTGCCAAAAACATTTTAGAGTCCAAGAGTGGCTATCAGGTATGCAACATGAAGAGACAGCAGTTGAAAAAGAACTTGAAGGACAATACAGGGAAGGGCTGAGGAGGGATAAGAATCCAGTTGGGGACAGCCCAGTGTGAAGACCCTGGGACAAGCCAGGTTGGGAACTTGGGAAGCGGCCAGCCACTTTATGGCAGGAGATTTTAAGTTAACCTTCATCGGAGCCTATTTGAGGCTGTCAAAAGGGTGAGTAGGGGCTGCACCCTGGTTTGGTGGGTCTCAAGGTGAAGAGAATACAACTGCAACAGAAGCTTATTCCTTCCTAACAGTTCCTTAGGGGTGTGGTAAAGGTGAAAAACCTTGACCCGGGGCAGGATCAGAAGGGCTCCTGTGGCCTTTCCCCGTGTGGGTGAACACTGTGTGCTACATGGGTGTTTGAGCATTTGGAGAGTTTCTGAGAACAAGCATGATACTTCTTTGGCCCTTTTTGTCCTGGCCTGGGGCAGCCGAATTAGGGGGTATTCTGCGTAATACAACAAAATGTAAGTGAGGACTTGATTTTTGCTGGTGGTAAAATGAATGAAAGTAGAGATGGATTCAATGGGAGGGGTGAGGAGGAAAATCTTCTATCCTTTGCATACCACCCGGGAGCTTTGTGGTACATGCACTTGATCTTAGCCAAAAGGCCGAGAAGCAATTGTGGTACATGCAACCAGGGAGGTCTACTTCACACGTGAATCAAATGATCATCTCACAGCGACCTGCCACCTAGTGTTATTTACTAAGCAGAATTGTGGCTTGATAGTTTTCTTTGTTCAAGAATGTTATGTATTCTCTGACATCTGGCTTAAATAAATAAAAAAAAAACCTCTGTGGTACATGACTGGAATCAAAATAATAACAGTCACAATAACTTTTTTAGAATTTCCATACTTTCCAGACACTGTGCTAGGTTCATAGCATATATTCCACTCATCCACCAGTCCTATAAGATGGGGCATATCAAACCTGCTTCTCAATGGAATGGGGGAGGCAGTAGGAGGTGGGATGGTAGTGTGGGTGGGAGGTCGGGAATGGGGGAAAGAACCACTATATTCCAAAAAGCTGTACATATGAAATTTGTATTAATTAAATAAAAACCTTCTAAAAAATCCTGCTTCTCAGATGACAAAGCTGAGGCCCAGAGTTTGCTCATATGCCTGAGTCCACACTGTGGCTAAACAGCATGGCTGGTGCTAGATCCTGGGCCTGAATCCATCCAAAGCTCCTGCTACCCCACTCCTCCCAGCCAGTGGCACATCTTGATGCAGTAATTCACCTTGCTTTTCACTACTCCAAGATGTAGCTCATGCAATGAAAAAAACAGACTGCACAAACTATAGACTGGGGATACAGAGCCAGAGTAATAACAAATTGATAGTAAGAGAAGATGGGTGGGCATTTAACACAACAGTAAGGTACCGCTTGGGATACCAGGATCCCATATTGGATTACCTGGTTAAGTCTTAGTTCCTGTACTTCCATTCCAGCTTCCTGTTAATGTGCACCTGTGAGGTGGCAGTTGCCACTGACCCACTTCAAGTCCTTAAGTTCCTGCCACCCACGTGGGAAACCCAAATTTGGCCTTTGGCCTAGCCCAGGCCAAGATGAGGTAGGCATTTGGAGTATGAACCAGCAGAAGGGAGATGTGTGTATTTATGTGTGTGTTTCTGCATTTCAAATAAATAAAACTGCCCGTTAATACAAGGAGCTCCAAACTGGGGTAGCCAGATATGGTATGCCCCAAATTTCCCCTCTAAGGTGGCAGGAGGTAAGTGAGCCTTGTTTGACTACTTTTGGACTCAGGTCAGTACAGAGATGTTGGCACTGGGTGCCTCCCAGGCAGAGTGGTGTGCTAAGGTGCTCCTTTTATTGTTTTTAGGGCATTTCAAGGAGGTGAAACTTAGGTTTGAGGTATCAGCTTAACCACAGCAGGGTGAAGGGGCCCAGGGCCTGTCAACAGTTAAAATGATGGTGCTGAGTGTGAACTGAGCCCCTTACCCATTCCAGAATAGACAGCCCGCACTACCAGCTCTTCCTGTCCACTCCGGGGGTGGGGCTTGTTGGCAGGCTCTAACCTTTTCCACAGGGTTCTCAGGGTACAGGCTGGCAAGTGAACAGGAGCTCCGAGAGTCCTGCTGGGTCCTAAGGCAGTGCCCTAAAGCACACCTGCAATAGGGGCCTTCTTGGAGCCAAGTTAGTCTCTCCCTGCTGAGGGAGCTCACATTCTCCCATCCTCCTCCTTCAAGTACCCATGTCCTGTGCCCCCTAGCCAAGGTCCTGCCTGCTGTCCTCAGTCATCATGCCTCATGGCCAAAGAGTAAATGCCATGCCCTTGAGAAATGCTACCAGATCTAAGATGAGTCCCAGAGTATAGAAGGTGCTCAGGCCACTGCAGCAGTGCCAGAAGGGTCCATATATTCCTTTTGTTCTGTTTTTAGGGGTGCTTTCTGAGAGCAAACGCAGTGACAGTTTCCATGGCGCTCACCAGGGGCCTCAGAGGGCTCCATTCCTCACCACTGCTTTCTGCATGTGTTTTGTACACAGGGTGTTACAAAAGTGCCAGGAGCCAATAGGAAAAAAGGACAAGTTCCTGCCTGGCCAGCATGACTATAATGACATCCATATTCAACAGGGTGAAGTCCCTTTAGGCAGCTCTAAGGAGCCAGGAGAAGAAAAGCACTATGAAATGTCCTCTTTTCTAGTGAGCCCTAACTCATCACATCACTCTTTAAATCAACCCAATAGGAACTAAAAAGGCAAAGATATGTGGACTTGATCAATATATCTACAAATAAGAATGGGCAAAATGAAAACTGGCAACATTTGACCGTTTTTGACTTACAAAAACAGCAAGTTAACATGTTTTAACCTAATATGTTTTAACCTAGTAGGTACTTTATCCTGTTAAAATAGCTCTTTCTCATTTTGATTTTTTCTAAAGTTTGCAGGTAATTTAAAAATTTATGAATCATACTGATTCTTTTTCTTTACTTAGTTAACATTTTATTTTGTTAACTTTTATTCATTTATTTTTCATTGTATTTGAGAGAGCGCGTGAGCTTTTATCTACTGCCTAGATCCACAAATGCCCACAAACAGCCATGGCTGGGCCAGGCTGAAGCCAGAAGCCTGGAACTGAGTCCAGGTCTCCCACGTGGGTTACAGGGGCCCAAGGACTTGGGCCATCCTCCACTGCTTTCCCAGACCACAGCAGAGAGCTGGATCGGAAGAGGAGCAGCCGGGTCTCGAACCAGCACCCACATGGGTTGCCGGCACTGCAGGCGGAGGATTAACCTACTGCACCACAGCGCTGACCCCTTGTGAGTTATTTTTCAGAAGCTGTATATCAAACCTGCTTGGTCATTTTTCATAATTTTTTGTCCCATGTATATAGTTTTAAAATTATCCATTATTTCTTTGTAGTAATCATTAGCTATTTTATTTTCTGTGACTAAAATGTGAAGTGTTTGTAGTTCTATTTTTCTTTGCTCTTATTTTTTTCTGCTAATTATCACTCATGGCACCATATTTTCTTGCAATTTCCAGGATCTCTTTTGCTGATTGCTTGTGTTCCTTAGAATTCTTATTTGTTGGAATCTGAAAATTTAGGATATAGTTCCCAGTGTAGAGAGAATTGGCTTTTGCCTTCATGTGCCAGCTGTAGGCCCTTACCCAGCCTGTCTAAAACCACTAGATTATTGGTTTCAGATTTTATCAAACAAATATTTACGAACTGTGAAGTTGTGCTGTCCGTGCTCTAAAGAGCCAGCTTGTGCTCACAGCTTCCTGCGGGCATCTCGTCCCTCACTTCTCAGTGTCAAGTCTTACAGAGCAATTTTCATTGCAGTCTCCTGAAACTATAGTCCTTTGGGATCCTAATGTTATGACTGAGGCCTTCTTTTAGACTCTTCCGCTTGGGCCGGGCCCTGATTTATTCTCCAGAATCCATGTCACATTGTCATGACTTGTTCTAAAGTTCAAGTTCACATCGGTTTGGCCAGAATTTTAAATGCCGAAGCCTGTTTTGGTGCTCTACGCACCTGTCTTGGTTCCCATGTTTACTCAATCTCTTAACAACATGTTCCTTTACAACATTTTCGATTGCCAGATATCAGCTGTTTTTATTTTTTATCTGGTATTTTGAATTGCTTTTAGTAGGAGAGTCAGTCTGGAAACTTTTCAAACTGTATTACTAGAAACTGAACTTCAAAGGCAATTTTTTTGTATAATTTTTTGTAGCTGATTATTTTTCATGTAGGCAATGAATATAATTAGCAACACTCGGGCTCAGACTTTTCCCTGGAAAAGCTGAGATAGAAACAGAACCATGTATACTCCAATACTTAAGAGTAGATGGCATGCTGTTCTATCCCTGTCCATCTCACATGGTAGTAATGCAGATCTCAGAATGGATTTGGTCCCTGGAGAACCCCAACTGGCTCCATTCCCTTCCCCAAACTAGAGTAAGCAGTATTCAGGTTGTGCCCACCATGGCTTAAGCCTTCTCCTTGTGATATTTCTTTTCCCTCAATCTATGCCCAAGTATAGCTGATTTCTTCATTTATTTATTTATTTATTTAGTTTTTACTAGCAGAAAATGCCCAGTGGTTCTCAACTGGGGACAATTTTGTCACCCCAACTCAGCACATGTGGCAGTATTAGGGGACATTTTTGATTGTCACCTTAGCAGGAGGGGTGCTACTGATATCCAGCAGGTAAATGCCTGGGATGCTGCTAAATAGTGCCCCACAACAAAGAAACATCTGTCCTCAAATGTACTAAGGGCCAACATTGAGATATGCTGGAAAGTGAAGGACCCAAAAGGTTTGGGCCATGAGAGAATGACTTTCTCAAATAGTGTAGGTGGCAGAAAATATGAGCTATGTAGCCAGCCAAATGCAGTTCTGTTACCTCCTGGGAGGAAGATCTAATTGTTAGGTCCTTCTCTAATATACAAAGAACATCATTACGTCCAGCTGGCACCATCACTAAGCTAAGAGAAATCTTTCACAGGAATATTCAAGCAGCACATGTTTCATTCATTGCAATCCATATAAACTGTCTTTGGGGACATGGACACAGTGGGATTTAGCTGAGTGCAAGAGAAAAAAGTCTCACTTTCCAGCCCCATT